TGATAGTTTATCTCACAATACGAGAGAGAAAGTAAGTTAGGTAGGAGCAACACTCTTCTGACAGCATTCAAGTAAGTACAGAAATTCTGAGTATACTTTCACTAAAGCATTTATTGTTAAAAGGAATTACTTAGGGAGAATTACAAAGTATAATCTAATAACACAACTGTAGGCGCAAATATATGCAGCTATTACTTAAGCCAACACAACAGCACAACTGAAGTTGGAGAAAAAGAGATTTCTGTTGCCTGTGGGTGTGTAGTTTGGTGGAGCAACAGGACAACTTTTCTTCTTCCATTGCTTTCCTAAGACACACCCTCAAGAGCTTCCAAAGCTCTTCCCATAAAGAAAAACAAATATAACGGAGTACTCACTCATTTGAATCAAAGAACTCCAGGATTAAGTTGAAAATCTGCTTAATTTGGAGCATCTTGCCCTCTGCACTTCCCTTAAAGATTATGAATCTTGGCCCTAAAATGTGTATTTCTTCACCAGTGACTCCTTGAGGAGAGTTTTGTATTCTGTGGGCAACAGCAGTGTGCACAAAAGGCCCGACATTAAAACTGAAATGATTTCTTAAAACTTTCTTAAACTAATAAGACCTTGACATTCCCAGCACCAGTAGTTCCAGCATTGTAGGATGTAGTCACAGTTCAATCCATAACAGCTGAGTTCCTGTTTGTTCCAGAAACAAATAACTTCTCAGAGGGTACACAATTATTGGCAGCTTTCTCCTATTGAGATAAATTCTTTTTATTAAAAAGAACACGTTGTATTTATTGTTTTTTTCTTTGTAGCTTATGAAGTTGTTTGACTAAAAATAACACAATCTGACATGAATAATGTAATTCACTGTCTTACTAATGACCACCCTTAAACTCTTAATTTAATAATCATTACGTTTCTTCTGCCACAACATGAATAAAACTTTTACTAATCATAGGCAAATAGATTTCTTATCTCCTCTGATTTTCTTTTTCTTAGTTTCACATCCCCTGTTTCCTGAAGGAAATGGCCAGACAAAATGATTCTGTAGTGACTGAATTTGTTCTCCAGGGGTTGACAGACAAACCAGAACTCCAGCTGCCTCTCTTCCTCCTATTTCTAGCGATCTATGGGGTCACTGTCGTGGGAAATGTGGGTATGATCTTTCTAATCACTTTCAGTTCCAACCTCCATGCTCCCATGTACTTTTTTCTTAGCAATTTGTCAGCCATAGATCTCTTGTATTCCTCAGTTATTACCCCCAAACTCATGGAAAACTTTGTAAGGGAGCAAAATGTTATTTCCTACCCTGGATGTATGACACAACTTTTTTTCTTTTGCTTTTTTGCTACTGCCGAGTCCTATATGCTAACTGCTATGGCTTATGATAGGTATGTAGCTATCTGTAGTCCATTGCTCTACAATGTCACCATGTCCCCAAAGGTCTGCTGTGTGCTGGTGACTGGAGTCTACATCATGGCATCTATTGGAGCTGTGCCCCACACGATCTCCATGATCATGCTTTTGTTCTGTGAAGACAATGTCATCCACCATTACTTCTGTGATATACTTCCTCTCCTAAAGCTCTCATGCTCCATTACCTACCTCAATGAACTTCTGGTGGTACTTGTAGGTGGATTCAATGTGTTTGCAACAATTATGCCCATAATAATCTCTTATGCCTTTATACTGTGTAACATTCTTCAAATACCTTCAGCTGAAGGCAAGTCCAAAGCCTTTAGTACCTGTGGCTCTCATCTTACAGCTGTTGGGGTTTTTTACGGATCCATTATATTCATGTATTTTAAGCCATCATCCAGCAGCAACACGGCCCAAGAGAAAGTGGCCTCTGTGTTCTATACCACAGTGATCCCTATGCTGAACCCTTTAATCTATAGCTTGAGGAATAAGGAAGTAAGGAATGTGCTTAGTAAAGCCATAGGTATGAGGTATGGACCACTCCAGGGTAGTAATTAGAACCACTAAAGTCATGGTAATAGTCTCCCTCTTTCTTTTTCTTAAAGCTAACTTCTTTTTCTGTTTCTAACAATTAACACTCCCTTCTCATTTCTTTCACTACAGTTGTCAGATGTTACCCTTTTATTGAAGTCTGTGCACTCACACACAAGTATATACACACAGACATACACACATCTATTCTTTGATCAAGAAATTTTGATATTAAGATTTAGTAGATCTTTGATGAGGATCCCAAAAACCAAACAAACCCAGAGCCCATTGCTGTCAAGTCAAT